TGCTGTTCGTGAACCGAATTGTTCGTGAACAGAAGCATTCGTGACCCGAGGTACCACTGTACTTCACTAAATTACACAAGTTTCAAGAACTACTTCCTAATGCTTAGAATAAAGTAGCAAAGAAATAGAGCCACTTACTACATATTTCCTCTGCTGATGTCTCCGTAGAACATGCTTGTTCAAGTTTGATTTTGTTGTAAACTTTTTATTGCAACCATCTACTGTGCACCTACAGAAATATTAAAGTATGATCAAACAAAAATGAATACATTATAGTAGATGTAACTAGAACAAACACCTGATTTTAAGTAACTCAATAAAAATAACCACATGTTTGAGCTAATACAGGCTTAAACTCAAGATATACATTTACACCTTTTTCTATGCTGTCAGCAGTACTAGGTATGTTTTCCTTCTGCTAAACATAATATACTTTCAGTCAATAAAAAACTTGCAACGTAACCAAGCAATTAAACATTGCAACCTAGTTATTTTACACAATTATACATCTGTCACCTTAAGAGCACTCAAATATATTATTAATCCAGTAAATTCTAGAAACAATCGTGTTGTAAACTATATGATCTGGTGTCAGAATTGGTTAAGACTTTTGTTGTCCATATAACATACTTACACAAATTGTTTTTCTCCAGTGTGTGTAAGAAAATGACGCTTAAGATGGAAACCTCTAGTGAAGCCTTTTCCACAGCCTTCAAAAATGCAAAGAAAGGGTCGCTGGTAAATTAAAAAAAGATTTTTAAAAATGTTGTTTTAATCCTCTTTTTAAACAACTTCCTCAGCTCCCATTCATTTCCCATTTTTCTCTGCTTCCTCTTCTGCCAGTAATGAGCATCTATTATTTTCCCAGAATTACGGTAGATGTTTCTCATTTTGCCAATCCACTCTACCACCTCCTTAACAGAAATTCATCATGAATCACTGTCTATAGCTAACTAAGTTAGAGGCCTTCAGTTCACAGACCTGATCCACAACAGAACAAGCAGCAAAACTTTCCAGTTACTCAAAGACCCCCATCATTCATTTTCAGCCATCAAAAATGCCACATATTAAGTATACCTGGCACATGATTAAAGCAAGGCTGATGGGGTACTTTGTTTCGTAACAGGTGCTGAGTAGAGGACCATTTTTTCTTGGTGTCAAGCTTAAACCCAGAATGCTCCGCAGAGAACACCCAGTACTAGTATTTCACCTTCACTGCCAACCTACACTGCATACTGCAGTGGAAAATACACATTCTGCACTTAGGAGAAAAGGATAGCAGGATTGTTTAGCTTCTTCCAATTGATTCTGGGGACCAAAAAGCAGCAGTACAGCTGTCAACCCAGTGTAAATAACTGAGTTGCATGTTGCCCATCACCATACTACACTGTGGGAGGTGGTGGTTATATTTTTATCCCACCATCCATCCATTTCAAGGCAGCGAACATACCTAATATTAATACCTAATATTAAAACTAACATCAAGTTAATCACTTTGACATTCGGATTCCCCACTTCTGTAAAGAGCCCAAGAGATTTAATAGAAGAAACATCAGCAATTTAATTCATGGTATATTCTCCTCCTTCATTCCTTTGGTCTCACGCCCAACAATCTCTATTTCTGCCCGGCATCCAGATTTTCAACCTAACCCAGGTCAGGCCAAGGGCTCCAATACACCTATACCTAATTATTTGCAGGGCGAGTAGCCCAGAGAAGCAGACGCAAAACCAAAGATGAACAAGCACATCGCTTCCCATAGAAACTCTCGCGCATGCGCTCCTCTTCAATACCGCCCAATCACAAGCTGCCTCTTACTGATTGGCCATCCGCGCACAGCCACGGTCCAATGGAAACTGCCGCATTCCCTTCGCCAAGGTTCTATTTCCGCCCACTGCCCAGCACTCGAGACCTTTGGTTGGTCGTCCCGGGAAAACGTTTTCGCGAGCCACAGCCCAATCGCCGCACTCCCTCCTTCCCGCCAGGTACACGCCTAGGCCCGCCCCTCATCCTCCCATACCTCTCCCGTGTGCCGGCAAAGGTGCGCGTCCAGTTTCCAGCCCCGGTTGAAGGTGGCATCGCAAAATGGGAACGAGCAGATGAACATCTGCTCCGGGGGCGGAGGACGATACCGGCTCTCCCCGAGATGAGAATATTTGTGCTTCAGAGACTGAGTCATGGAAGTGGCAGCGGCGGCCGCCTCCCCGACAGCAAAGTCCTCTCCGGCCATGTTTGGACCATAAATCATGTGATTGTACCGTAGCTCCACCTCTCCTTTATCCCTTCTCCCGACCACCGAGTTCCACACTTTCTGAAGCCTAACAATTGCGCACTTCTGCCCTTTGAAAAGATGGCCGGTGGCGCAAAATGCTACAGAGGCTGCGTGAGGGGGGGGGGAAGTGGATCTGGCGCATGCGCGCTGCATTTTTTTCTTCTGAGGGAGAGTTGGGTGGTGTGTTTTGTGCGATGTTCACCCCCTTTTTTTCACCCCATGGATTTTTAAAACTGCTCTAAAACTGCCACCCCAGAAGCTTGTTTTTGGCTGTACTCTTCCTTTTCCCTTACAAAATCATTACCGCTAGCCTTAAGCTTTCTTGTTTTAAAACATTTTATTGGAATTCAGTTTCCAACTGCTTACCTTACTTGTAAAATGCTATGAAAGGATTGTTATCCTGAACGGCAAGATATAAATAATCGCGACTTTAAGAAATATTTTAATATGATGTGGAAACCTTTTCCCTTCTCTTTTCTATCCACCAGCAGGAACAAGGAAAGCAAATTGTTCCTGCAACAATACTGACCAAACTGAGATAGCATGACATGAGCTTGTGGCCCTTGGATTACAGCTTGCCCATCCTTGGTCTATAAGATATGTGTAAAGTTTTAACTTATTAATAAGCAAAGTTACATTTTATCATACCAATCTAATCCAGCTATGTTAGGAAACTTCACCTCTTAACAAAGACAGCTTGAATAAAGTCAAATTTCCTGAATATTCAAATTTACCTATTTCATACAAAATTTTCCTTTGAAATTCCTTCATTGAGTAATGGGCAGGTTCCACTGCATGGAGTTTACTTACCATCAGATTGGGGCCCTTATCTACATTTTAAACATTCCTATATAGGCATTATACAACCAGAACTATTTTTAAGAAAGTAGAAGAAACATATTTTTAATTGCTTTGTCCAATTCCAGGAGCTGAAATACACACATCTTAAAGTTGCTGAAGTTAAGAAACACTGATCTAAGATACTATGCTACCAGGAAGAGAGCTGATAAGATAGAAGATAACTTCAGTGTAAGATTTCTAAGCTTATTATTTTGTAGTAGGAGCATTGAGATTTTAACCTGTATTTATCCCCAAAATATTTAGAAAAAATTATATCTGATGACAGAAACCAATTTTCACCCCACAGAGAATAGCTGGATTGCTTGTAGATTGTTCAAAGAGGCTATTAAAGTTTCTATCACCATAATAATAATATCAACAGATAGTGATGGAGGGGCACCCAGTGCAACTCAGTTGTCCTGTTCTCACCCAAATTTACATAACAGAGGAAAAGGGCAGGGGAGATCTTCTGGAATAAATCAGCAGATACATGAAAAGAAGAAATAGGAGGGAAGGGGCAACTCCAGCATCAGCATGTAGAATCCTTATAAAGTGCTAGGCCATGGCAAAGTGCACAGTTTAGTTAATATTTGCACTTAGTCCAGGAGTGGCTAACTGTAGTCAGCAGGCAATATGCCTCTCTTATCCCAGAGCACTGCTAAACCATGCTGCTGAAATTTAGTGGCAAAAATAGTAACAGGAGGGGTGATTTGTTTATTTTATTCTATTTTGGGAAAAATGAAGAGCAAAAGTGGTGCCTTAGGTTTCTGGGTTATGCCACTCTTAGTAGCCATGCTCTTAGCAGCCAATAAATACTTTGAAAATAAGAAAGTGGACACTGACCACAACAACATTGCATTGCACTGGCAGCTACACCTGAATGTCATTTATGTTTCTCAGAATGCCACTGATGTAGCATTGTACCAAGGCATTCTGGAAAATTAGTTGTATATCAGATTCATTGCTGGAAACATTGCTGACAGATCTCTACTTAGACAGGGATTTGTAGCATGAATATCCATCATATTTATTTATTTATATTTATTCAATGTGTATGGCTGCAAATTCATGACTCTGGACAGCTAACAATACTTAAGAACATGATAAAAGCCACACAACAAAATTATAAATAACATATATAGCAGCCAAAAAACAAAACAAAAACCAACCAACTAACCACAACAATCAGCACAATCATGATAGAGGCTCAGCCACGCATCCGGGGCTCCAGGCTCTGTGACAAAACCAGATTTTCAGGGCCTCACAATACTGTTAGCTAGTGCTTTCTGGAAGACTTAATAGAAATATATTGCAAACTCCAGGTTTTTTTGCATTGTCCTAATATAGTGGAAGAAGCAAAAGCTACTGTTTTGTTCCCATGTCACAAGGGACTGCCTGTTCTTTAATTCTATCTCTTCCTGCCTAGAGAGAAAACACCATCCTTCAATCTTGATGTTTTCTTTCCCCAAGGAAATAATCAATACATGAAATAAGCAGGTGCTTTGTCTGCTCTGCACATAAAATGAATGACGCATTCTTTACCTAAGAGGAAGGCTGGCAACACCTCATGGGAACTAGAAAAGCCCCTCTGAGCAGGCAGAAGAATAAAATTCCTGATCAAATGATTCTGTGTCAGCTCTGTGAGGAAACTGACAAAGTAACACTAAGGGGGGGAAATGCAGTTTGGTAGGATATACTAGTTTTTAATATCTATTTAGTATCTAGGCTAATCATTCAGAACAAAGCAACTTCCCCATACCTATCATAGTACACTGTAAAAAGAACAATGACACAATACTCCAGCAACTAGAATGATACCCTGGGAAGTTTCTGACTCCCATGATCAAAACAATTATGATTGTTAAGCATCTGCCTAATAAACTTTCCACCTGTCAACAGCCCTTTTTTAAATTAAACACAAAACACTTAAAAGTACAGCCAGAGAAAATACTGAAGTCAGTTATCAGTTTTGAGCCAATATCTTTAATCTCTATTTCTTAAGTTCATTATGTTGATAGAACTCACCTTATCCATAGCCCCTATCTGGTCATAACTGATTATCTATGATAAAGTAAGAAAACAAACTAGCATAAAATATCTTTAAATAATTTAGATTGTTATATATTTTTTCTTCTGAAATCCCAGTACTGTAGTAAATGAAAGTGAGATTTCATTTTATTGGGTATTTTTGACCTAAATCTCAGAGGTATAGAGCTATAATGGAATTTTTCAGGATTAGGAGAAGAAATCAAGGGAAGGGGAAATATTTCCCTCTTCTTCTTTTTTTTAAAATCAGATGTTTTATTTTTATGTCATCTATGCATATACGAAGGGAAGGACTGGATTTATAGATGCAGCATGAAATTTTGTAATTCTTTCTTCCAGTTGAAAAAATCCTGGCAGAAATGTGTATCACATTAAAATGGTCATAAAAATACATATATTACTGAAAACAACATATAAAAACATTCTATGACAGAATGTGCTTCTAACATATATACATATAGGGCAAATGCTTGAACACAAAGTTGTATATCAAGAGGAATCGAAACAAAAATGCACATTCATATTCCTACCAACTTTTTTTTAAAAATCCCAAACTGTTGTGGAAGCAGGTTGAATCTAATAAAAATGTTCATAATGCCCAGTCCTACACTAAAATCATGAACATCAATTTGTGAGGAACCATCCTTTAATAGCCACATCAAATCTGCAAAGCTAGCTATAAATGGAGGCATACAGAGGCAGAGCAGACAATATTTTATTTTGGCTTTTGTATGTTCCTTGACCTTACTGTGGCTTTTCCCTTAATTCATCTGATAATTGATCATGTTTAGAACACTCTTTTCTTACAGTCGTTGAAAAAAATAATTAATTATGGTAGTCTCTGGTGCTAAAGAACAAGAATAAGGTGACCTTTTTTTTTTTTAAACAAAGGAATTATTTTATGTTGGAAGAAAAAGGTGGGTTTTTAATCATTTTAAGAAAGTTTTGGGATGAAGGTTTTTCCTATTAATTTATAAAACTAATTCCAGCATTTCTTTCTTTCTTTTTTTAATGAACAAAAACAAACTTTTCCATGTTTACACTGGTAAAGAGGCCACAAGCTAACTAGGAAGTTTTGTATTACACTTTTACTAATAAGTAAGATTCTTTTAAATCAGTAGGCTTTGTTCCTATGAAGCTATGCTTAAGAAGATAGTAAAGAAGATGGTTTTAGTGATATGTATTGATCGATCTATATTTGACTTTGCCACTTTTTAAAACAATGTCAATAACAGCATTTGGCAAGCATCATAAAGAGCCATTCCATATGCAGCACAAGCAAGCACTCCATCAGCCTCTGTGTTAGGAAGCACATCTGTCTTCTGTCTAGTTCTTTTCCTAAATGTCTCCCTGAATCAGATTTTATTGGATGGAGGGAGTTGTAAATGCTCCTTTCTGTTTGAATCCTCAGGTTAACAATGCCCCCTGTGATGACCAACACAAGATGTTGCATTCAAGAAAGAGGTGCACTCAAGTAAGAGGAGATCTTTGTGACAGTATCTCCCAGTATGGTCCCCATGCCCAGCTAATCACATTAGCACAAGAGAAAAGAGGTGGCCACTAGACAGCCACATAAAGAAAAGGAGAAAAGCAAGACTAATCTTGTTAAAAGAGAAGCAAAGATAGACGCTACTTTTACATAGCGGTTTATAATGGCCCAGTTTTCCCAGGATTGGCATCACCTGTACCAATCTCCCAAACTTGCAAAAAATGGAAGAAAATCTGTGTTTTCTAAAGAAGGCTTAACTTTAAAGCATACCCTATTTTCCACGTTTCCTAAATTATTGGGACAACAGCTTCCATAAGCATGTGTGTGTGTAGTATATATAAAACACATACACACATTCACACATATAGATATATACAGAAAAAGAGCCATTTCTGGACTTCTTTGTAGTATGTCATGCTGCATTCCATCGTTGGATTATCAGTAACTGGGAATCACAGCTAGATGCCATAAGCTTTATGATTTGCTGGCCAAATTTTCAGCCTTTGAGCACATTCTCAGGCCCTAGGTACGTACATGCATAGTGTTTATCTCTGTTTTATGATAGGTTGAATATGATAAATGCTT